TATTACCTCAGGTTTTGAAAGTCAATACATTTTTATACACAAAATTAGTTGTCAATTAATTTTAATGTAATCATTAAATGAAATATTAAGCACCTAAAATAAATAGTAGATTATAATGCTAATAAGACACCTTTGTACTTTCACATCGGCTTTGGTCTTAATTTCCCGTTACACCCCAAGCTAAGGCGTTAGTCCATCATCGCTCGGTTTCTTCTCTCGAATGATGTAAGGACTGAAAATTAAATAACTGATACGGAAAAGTAAATTGCAGAAAGTAAATTACATAAAGTAAATTACAGAAAGTAAATTATAAGAAATGGAAATATTGGAATGTAAATACTGGAAATTAAATGACTAAAAGTAAAATACTGGAAATTAAATGACAGAAATGTAAATTGCAGTAAAGTAAAGACTGAAATGTAAAGGACTGAAATGTAAAGACTGAAATATAAATACTAAAATATAAAGACTGAAATATAAATACTGAAATATAAAGACTGAAATATAAATACTGAAATGTAAAAGACTGAAATATAAAAAACTGAAATATAAATTATTAATAACTAATTTATATTAATTAATATTAATCTAATCATAATGGAAGAAAGTACATGATGGAATGGATGATGGTACTTGGGAAATGGGGTTGACTTTTGAAGGAAACTTGCAAGTCAATTAACGAAACTTGCAAGACAAGTTTCGTTACAAAGACCGAAAGATTACTTGCAAACTCGTAAAAATAGATTATTTAGTCTACGTACATTAGCCGTGAGCCACAAAGGACGAGATCCGATGTAAAACAACAACGATCGAGTAATTCGTAACTTGAAATAAAAGTAAGAAAACGTAACGTAACTTGGAACAGAAAGAAGATGAAGATTAAATACAAGTACGTAAATTAAACTTGAGAATGAAATTACAACTACAAAGATCGGTTCTTGAAAAGTCAAACAAAGAGAACCGAAAACAATATTCTTGAGAGTAGCTTACACAAAAATCATAAAGATTAAATGGAAGAAAGTCTCCAAAAATCACCAAAAGTATTTGTGAATTAGTGAATTGGTGAATTAAAACAAGGCCAAAGGCTTGTTTATATATTCCAAGGAAGGTCCCATAGTGGGTGCCAACTAATAAGACAAAAATCTCTTCAAAACTGGGCTTTGACTGGGCCCAAGGTCGTTGACCACGCCTCATTTATGGACCAGCCCATATCTCCACGGCCCAAGTAGTTTTCCAGCTTTCGGACAGGTCCTATAGGACCTTGCCACTCCTGGTCATGTAGGACTGCCGCAGGACTGGACCCAAAAATGATCAAAAACCTGCAAAAACAGGAAATTAACATTAGATATACTATATAACTACTAACATATGAAAAAGACATAAAAAGACTCAATTAAGACACTAACGGGCAAATAAAACAGAAGAAAATGGTTAAGAAACTGATGTAATAAGGTTAATAAATTAACACTTATCACACCCCCAAACTTGAATTGTTGTTTGTCCCCAAACAACAGAAAATGACAAATAAAAAGACTCAAAGTTCTAATAAACTAAAAAAATTTGAGCATAAACATTCAATAGC